TATTTGCCTATGCCACGCATTAAGCGCGCCTAACCATGTGACTCAAATGTGTGTATGTGGGGCGTCTATGTGAGTGTGTGCGTGTGGAGTGAGCCTTTTTGGGGTGCGTTGAGCGGACATTTAAAATATGTTGTCTTGCCACCAGTTGTTTGCCAGGACGCTCCGCTTTTTCTGCCAGACAGCTGCATATCTATAGCCACAAGCGCCGGCGAAAGCGGAAATTAGCAAACGATTTAAGCTGCGGTGGGGAAGCCACGCACATGGAGTGAGACAACGTGGCGTATGCGTGTTATTTGATTTTGCTGCGGGTGCGCTTACATTTTTTCTTTTTACATATTCCTTAACAATTTCCTGTTATAAACAAATCAAGGATGTAATAACGCAGTTCAATGCGCGCACTTCAAGCAAAGAGCGTGGGTCCAAGAAACGATTGCACAGTAAATGCCGTTGATTATGATCTTAAGAGCTGCCACAGTCGGTAATGGCCGAAAAAAAATTGCTGCATAGTGTATTTTATGGTAGACACAACTGCGGGGCTCCGCCCATTAGTTAACAGCTTACTGCGTTTTCTTCTCCGGTTAGACTTGGCTTTGAAAAATGTAGAAAAATATTTAGAATAACAAAAACAGAAAAAAGGCTATCCACACACTCCAGCACACACCAGCTCATGCTGGGAACGCAGTTTGATGGCATGTGAAAGTACAGTAGCACCAACAACAAGGACAGACTTAAAGGAAAGCCAGTCAAGTGTATGAAATGTAACAAAGACCTTAACCAGTATTGCGAACACACTCGCCCACTCGCCCGCTCACCCACTCACCCACTGGACTGCCACTCACACGTACTGGGCAAAATAATGAGAAAATATCAAAAGTGTGCCCACTTTTGATATTTTGTGCCAAGGCCCTCGGGCTCGGTCCCCGCTGAATGTCAACTTAAAGCAACTTGCGGCTGCCGCTTGGCCAACAAGCCGTGGCCAAGTCGGGCTGTCCTGGCTGGCTTGCTTTCCACTTTCCACTTCGTTGTATTTCTTTTTTTTTTAAAGTATCCGAGCTGGGTGAAACCGACGCTAATGAGCTACTTAGGCGATGACTTAGGTCATTATTCTGTGTGTGTGTGTGTGTGCTTGCACATCGTGACATTACACATACGCAACGTTGTTTTGGCCACACTTTGTGGTAAATGTAAAGCCGACGACAACTGTTCTCAGACATGTTCTGGTTGCTTTTGCTGTCTTGGGACGTCCTATGCCAGCTCTCGGCATTGTGCTGCGTCTTTTGTCATCATGGTTGTGCTCTACCCAAATATGCTATATTGTATTCGATTAATATTTCAATAAAGTGTTTGTGTGAGGGCCGCCTTTAACGGATTACAATAATCAGAGTCCTTTTGTGCCGATTACCACAATGGTCTGGCCATCAAGTGGAAAATGAGCTGCTTAAGAGCATTCAGAGATCTCTTTGCGGAGTGCACTAAATTGTGTACTCAAACGCAATTTTTCTGTCTTTGAGTTTCCAAATTGTCCCGCGGCTAAATTGAAATCATTAGCCAGCTGACGAACAATGGCTGTTGATTTACGGAGCCACAAACGCCGCGGGCTTCGTTAGACAGCAACGGGCCAAAAATAACACAACAGATCACACACACACACACACACACACAGTCACACTCACGCACGCACTTCCACACGCACTGACTGACAAACATGTGCGTAATTGCAACACCTCATTAGGCAGATGCTGAATAAAAGCAAAAACTTTACTTTAATCAGGCACCGCCGCCGCTGTCGCCCCAAATTTGAGAGTGAAAACTTTCAACAGTTGCTCCCTTGCCATTGCTGGCCGCCAATTAAACGCGTCCATCGCAATGTTTACCCAACACAAACACGACAAAAACAACCAATTTCGAACGCTCCGCCTGGGGGATGGGATGCTGGGGCCAACAAGGCTGAAGCTGGAGGCGAGTTGACAGTGAAATCCATCGACATAATTCTGGAAAATGTGATTTTATTAATTAAATGCGACAGGCGAGTGTCAAATCAGCGACAGGGCGTGGCTTACGCCTGCCGCCTCCTCCCCAGCTGCCGTTCGCTGTTGCGGTTCAACGTGCTGCGAATGTCTCCGCCGTCGACAGCGCACAACAATTTTAAACATGTCAACACGGTGTCATAATTATAATATTCAGCCCGGGAGTGTGTGAGTCGGTGTGGGTGTGAGTGTGTGTGTCATTGTTATGTTGCTTGTGCGCTGTTCGATTCGCTTGCAAGTTGGAGCCTTAAATTCGCGACCCCAAAAGCCACGACCGCAGGGCGTAGCCTCTGTCGACGCTATTGTTTGGCTTTACGCTGGGCGGCATTTTTAATGATCCAGCCACAGAGCTCAGGGACCAGCACTATGCTTGGCGTTGGAAATTATATTCTGTTGCTGGTGGTTCGCTGCGGGTCGCTGGTTAACTGATTGGTTTTGCGGTTGGTTTTAAGCCGCCTTTTAAAAGCCATTTATTAGGGACACCGACGACAATGCCGCTAATTGCTTTGCTGTGTGAGTGTGTAGCTTGTAGCTTTTCCAGTCCGAAATGGGCAGAAATGTGATGAATGAGCAGCTATCGATAAAGCAAGAGTAGATAGTAGAATATTATGAATTTAAAGAGTTCGCTTCGAAAAGGTATGAAATTAGATCCAACTGGCAGATAAATATATACAGATATGTAAACTTAAGTAACTATATATTCAGTATTAAGCCAAAAAATATGTGTGAGACATAATATAGAAAGTTAAACTAATGTTGAATAATTTTCTTTTCCTTTCTTAGTAGCCAATACTATTTTGCTGAACAACTAAGTTTTAAGCATTTTCGTTCTGAAGATCTGAAGTACACATGCTCCTATGTTTGAAATCAATAAACATATTATTGATAGAAAATAAATTGATCCTAATATTCGTTTCAAATCATTCTCAAAATATTGTGTTTATTACTAAATTATATTGTCTAACATTTAGTATTAAATGGCACTACAATTTTAATGCACATAGCTGTATATAATTTCTCTGCTTTGCACACCCTAATCAAATCATATATGTAGCCCACATATCTAGATTGTTTAACATCATCCACAATATTAAGGATAAAATCTGAAGCTCTGGTTTAGTGTTCCTTGGGCATACTTGTGCCTTACACTAAAATAAATATATATTCATGCTAAATAGCAAACATTCTCATAGCAACTATGTGACGTTCTCATCTATGCAAATGTATAAAAAAATATATAAAGGTTTATTATACACATTTAGAGGTTTGCTTAAATGTGAATAAAGTATTTAGATTACGTGTAAATACGGACTTGGAATCTAGATAAAGTAAGAGCAAGGTGAAGTCGCTGGCTTCTCTGTCCTTCAAGCTAAGATTAAAAATATTATTATCATTAATTATTACAGCTATTTGTTTATTTATTTTTGAGCTTTGAAGTGGGTCAGTTTATTTGTAAATATCTATTTATCTCAATTTGTGGCAGTTTCCTTGTTTTTATTCGAAACACTAGTTATTCTCTCTACTGCTCTGCTGGGAGTCTTAAATTTAAAGCATTTTTGGTACAAAAAAAAGGAAGAAGAAAAACAGACGAAAAATAAGGAGAAGAACGAAGCAGACTGTTGGCCAAGTGACCTAGCGGCCAGCAGTTGGCTGCACGTTATCCTGGCCACTTAGTCTTGATTAATGTGTCGCATTTGCCTGCGGAGCCTGGCGTCATGCACCCGTAAATAACAGACCCGCTCCCTCTCCCCGTCCACTGACCGATGTCAGCCCGCCCACTCAAATGAGTTAGTTTTTATTGCGTCAAGGTTAATTGGAAATGCCAAAGCTATATAAAAACTTTTTGCTTTCGATTCAAGTTTTCACTTTATTATCATTTTTACTATTTATATAAAAACGGAGCCATGAAAGTTGAGTACTCACAGCGCAATTTTTGATGTGGTTTAACTTTTGCATGCGCTTTATTTATTATGGATGCAATAAATATTTATAGATGATCTTGATGTATGTAAGGCATGTGAGTAAGTGTAGATGTGTGTGTGCATATATTAAAAAGCTGGCTTAAAGCACCTGGAGCTGTTGCTGCTTCCACTCAAATTCGCTTTAGATTTCAAAATTTAATATTTTCCTCCGCGTCTGCATGTTGATCGCTTGTCGAAGCTGCCAGTCAATCATTCGTTGACATATTGATTGAATGCTGCGCCCTGCATCTCAGCTGTGCGTCTGTGTGTGTGTTTGTGTTTGACCTACCCCGACGGGCACACACGCTGAACCTTGTGACAAAATTTAAAGCATTTTCCAAACTGAGCAGCGGCAGTTTGAGCTTGGGCAAATTTGGCTTGTGGCTGGCTGCCCAGGAAGGAATCTCTCTAGTGAATTTTCCAGATAGCTTGTTACAAAAAGGGCGCAACACATTTATAATGTGGACAGTAATGTGCGCGTGTGTATGTGTGTGTGGCAACAAAAATGTAAATGTTCACAAGCAGCTACTAAGAGACAACGGCTGGCAGAGACAGGGACCCGCATGATAACACGCATATCTTGATGGGTTATTGCCTAGTTTTTGGGACTGGCTCCCTTCGGTGGGGGAATCAAATTAGAAGCAGACACACACACACACGGTCACATCATACGCTGCGTACAGTAAAACTCATATGCATAAATATTTGTGGATTTGGTCGCCCCGCGACGCGACGTGGCGCGGCGCAGCTTTTGCCCATTGAGTCCAATAACAATGCGCATCAAAATGAACCGAAAATTGTGCCTGCCGCAGCAAGCCCACAGCCTGAAGTCGCAGGCAATAAATTTGAATAGAGGTTAGCGTCTCAGTGTGTGTGCGAGTGTGCATGTGTGTTGTCTGTAGATTTAGCATGAAGAGTCTTTATTGTTTGCGAATACGCAAATTGGTGTCTAGCATGCCGTCAATTGCCGACAATTGGCGTCAATTTCCCCAGTGACAAGTGCACCACTTACCTCGCACTTCGGCAGTGGACCCTCGGGCATCTTGACCTTCCAGCCCAGCAGCGGCGGAATGCATATGAGTGCCGACATTATCCACACCGCCGTGATCATGACAGCCGCTCGGGCGGGCGTACGGGACTTGAGATAGTCAACGGCCTTAGTGATGCTCCAGTAGCGATCGAGCGAGATGAGGCACAGATTCATGATCGAGGCTGTGCAGAGCAGCACGTCCATGGCCGAGTGTATGTCACACCACCAGCTGCCGAAGATCCAGTAGCCCATCAGCTCATTGGCCAGCGAGAAGGGCATTATGATGAGGCCCAGAAAGAAGTCAGCCACGGCTAGCGAGGCAATGAACCAGTTCTGTATATTCTTCAGCGACTTCTCAGTGGCTATCGCAATGATCACCAGCATATTGCCCACCACAATAATGATCATCAGAATGGTCACAATGATCGACGCGATCACAATATGCGTCAGCGTATAGCCGCTCGGATAGCGTCCATCCCAGTGAACTTCCGTGCCATTGCTGCTGTTGGCCAACAGGCCGAAGCTCATATTAGCGGTCGACTGATTGTAATAGCTGCCCGCCATCTGGAGGCTGTTGTTGTAGAAGCTGCCATTCAGCAGATAGATGGTATCATTCACCGGCGGCGGCATCTCCAGCAGATTCGGCAGTTGCACCTGCTCATCGACGGTCACCAGCGGAGGATTGAGTGTGCCAGCTGGATTTCCATGAGTCAGTGATGATGATGCTGCCGTAGTTGTTGTTATTGAGGCACCGCTTGAGAATACTGCCAGGAAGTCATCATTGCTGATGTTGCCCGTATTGATGCTGGCCTCCACTTTGGCGTAGTCCATGTTGCTGCTCTGTTTCTGTTTCTGTGTCTGTTGCTGTTGTTGTTGCTGTTGCTGTTGCTGTAGCTGTTGTCAAGTGTTTCTATCTTTGTCTAGCGTCGGATTGGTCCCATGCTGGCGCTGTCCGCTTCACTTGGCCATGGATACATATATATATATATATATGTATGAATATATGTTTGTTTATATAAATAAATATATTTATGTTTTTATAATTAAATTTGAAAATGCGGCCGGCAATTTTGCATTCGTTTGCGCGCGTTTCAATTACGTTCAGAATTTTGTTCTAACACCCAATTAAATCTAATAATTTATCTAATGCCTAGCATAGTTTTGCGATTTGCAATTATTCGATTATGTTTTTACCCGTTTTGCACCGAAACTTGTGTATGTGCTTATTTGCTTTAAGTCGCGTTAGCGTAACACGCGAGCGGCTTTCATAGAATTATTTATTAACATTACTTTTAATAATACATTTATACTTTTTTCTTATTGTTGCTGCTGGATAAACACACATATACCGACACCGATACACATACTTAAAGAGATACAGATTCAGAGTGAGACATATAGAGCGAGTGAGAGAGAGAAGTAAGACACACAGATTAAACGTATACTATAGAAAAAGACTGACTATATACAATAGGGATCCGTCGCCGGGGCGCCACAAGAACCCCACTCTCGATATCTCGATCTCGATGCCATCGATCTGCGCCTTCGTCCCACAGCAGTCACAACATCACACGCACTGCCGCTCTCTCGTTTTATCGTATTTTATTTACACTTGATCAACAGTTTGTATATCGTTCTGATAAATAGTTCTGCTCGTGCGTCAGTTCGTTTGTTTACAATATTTTTGTGGACAGTTTTCTGATTTGGTTAGATGGACGCGCGCGCCTCACACAATGCTCTCAATCGGGCGTGGGCATTTCTTGACTCGATTTGGCGCTTTTTCTTTGGCTAAATGTATGTGAGACTTGGTACTTTGGCTGTTTGGCTATTTGGCTACTGGGCCAGCTGACGCGCCCGCAACACGTTCGCACCGCTGGAAATGCACATCTTAACTGAATGGCCCAACATTTGCTACCAAAGTTGTCTTCCACACACGCAGCCTCTGCGGCGGGCTTCGGCTTTCGCATCGGCGTCGATTCGTGTTGTTCGCTGTTCGGCACATTCCGTTTCATCGGGGAAATTCGCTCACTGGGAAATTATCTCTTTGCTATTTGTGTTTCATTTGCCAACCGTTTCGCCTGCGTTTGTTTTGGTCACAGTGTGCGTGTGTGAGTGAGGGGCGGGTGGGTGCCATTTTCCTAAGCCCAAAAAACCTAAACCCAAAAAAACCCAACCCGAACCCATTTGTTGCAGCACTTTTCACGTTTTTCATTTCACTGTTGCACCCTCTCTGCCCCAAAGGGCGCCAGGCTGTGTGTGTGAGTGTGGGCATGTTTGCTACAAATGTTGGCCATGCGAACGAGGCCCATGTGTGCGATGCGGCCTTTTGTTTACATTTTTTATTTCAACCCACATAGCTGGCTTTGTTTTCACACCAAATGCTGGCAGGCTCACCTTTTAAATACTTCTCACGATTTGCGGCCTGTTAAAGTTGCGCCTCAACTGTGCCAATAAAGGCACAAAAATGAAGCCATCAAAAGGCGTGCGGGCGCACGAAACACAATCCATAGGCCTCTTGCTATATAGCAGCCTACATACATATATATATAAATAAATATAGATACTTATGAATGCCAACACATTACGCACATTATGCGCTATAGTCACGTAGATGGGGCACATAATTGAAAAGCCAACTTGAGCGTATCAATCGTGCAACCAAACAGGTTGTTCTGATATCTGTTGTCGTTATTGTCATTGTTGTTGTTGTTATTGTCGTTGTTGGCGTTGTAGCTGTGGTTGCTGCTTCAGCAGCTCTCAATGAAATCAGCTAGAAATTATTATGATAATGAAGAGTTGAGCGCACACTCAGCTCGCCTGGAAGTTTTTTATGGGCTGCGCTGCGTTGCGCTGGCAAGTATGCATCATGTATACGCTGCGTATGAGTTATTCGAGTTATTTGATTACGTTAAGCATACGCCGTGTTGCTGCTGCGCATAATTTCAAATTACACGCAGCAAAGCGACATCAACATAATAAATCTGAAAAGGGCCGACACTTGACAAACAAGCAGCGAGTGAGCTGTTACGACATCAACTTATTTGCCGTGACGGCCACACACACACACACACACGCGAACGCAGTCATAGTGAGCTGACATATGCCGGAAAGACTAAGCAGCCGAAAGAGCAGCTACAACAGTGGGTACTCAGGCTTCAGTCCCTAACAGAAGATTGCTTGTCAAGCGCTGATTATATTAACTGCCTATGGATGCTAGACACACGCACACAAACACACACACACACGCACACACATAGCCACACATTTGTGTGTAAAGCCAATCAGTGAGACATACCCACTAGCACACACACACACACAAACACACACAATAAACAGCCGCAGTGTCAGGCAGAATCAAATTGCGCATACGCCGCATAAACCTATGGGTTGTAGCCAGTCCGACGGCATGGATAATGCGCAAATCTCTCAGATGCGGATGCATTAAGTTATGCACATATATATGACAGTCTGTGTGGCTGTGCGTGTGCGTGCGTATGCGTATGCATGCCTCATTGCAGCACTGCAGCACGCACATCACAGCCACTAATGACACCTTCGTCTTTCCGTCTGCATTTATGTTGCCGTTGGGCGAAATCTAATTTTTATTCGCCGCACGTTTTGCATAATGAAATCGGATTTGTGGACCGACGTAAACTGCAACTAAAAATGTGGGCGTGGCTTTCGATAGGGTCAACGGTTACAAGCATCACATAATTCGCGTACTCCATAAAAGTGTTTTGCAGCTCCGAAAAGTTTGGGCAATAGGAAGAGCATCATCATTTTGCTTAAGTATTATTAACTGTATATAGTTTAGGCTGGAGAATGGCAATCTCGATAGATAGACATCTTCTGAGTTTATCCATTAGAGTTAAATCCTCTGCATTGGCTGAGAATCGGCTGCGCAACGAGGGTGAGCAGGGTATCTGCGTAGCCTAATAAACTCTCGCGACTAGCGCACTCTTTTCCACTCTGCGCTGCTTTTGTTTTTCAAAACTTTTTCAGACCTAAGCGTTTTGTCAGTAGACGACTGGGAATAGCAACTGGGAGCAGCGAACTGGCAACTGGGCAAAAGCAGCGCGAGCAGCTGCCAATTGGACGGAGCCACGCCTTGTGGGCCGTTGCAGTGGGCGACCAAAGGCAAAATAAAAGAATAAAAAACAATATTTTCTGTGCGTGGCTTCGGGTGAAAAATGCGCGAATGCAACTCGCTAATGGCTGCGAATATTTTATGTGCGCTTATCAGTCGCATTAGCTGGAAAACTGTTGCTAAAAGCTTGCCGTATCCTAAGGGAGTTCTGTGCTACATTATGCCATGACGTCGGGCTGGTTCCGGAAATTGCGTTACTCATACGCACCGTGGCGCTGCTCGATGCATTATCTTAATTTAAAAGCGCGTTACGGCCAGAGGTACATAGCATTGGACAGGTTGGCAGGCAGCTCATGTGCCATGTTTTAGTTTCATTAACTTGGCTGAAAACTCATTTATCAACCTGTCAGCAGCAATTATTTATGCCCCACACCGCTCCCCCTCAGACGGCGCGCAGTGTGTTTCATCGCAGACAATCATAGACAATTACCAGCACTGGCAAAAGCATCTCAACTCTCCCAGCGACTGAATTACCTTTAACTGAAATAACAATCAATAGGAATAAAAATAAATACGCAACGAAATTGAATCAATGTTTAAGTTCTTCGGCAACACAGCGAGCCGCGACTTCTAAGTCGCGAGCCTTAATATTTAGTGTAAGCAAAAACGATTGAAAGTCTTAATCTCTTGATAAGGCCTCTGATCTCGAGCTGATTCTGTTTTCCGGCCACAGCGTCGTGACATTAGGCTGCCAATTAGCCCAAGGCAGCGCCGGCAACACGTGCGCTCAATTGACAATTGATGGCCTCCGTTGAGTAGCCGAGGGCAATTGGGGCACATTGGGCAAAGTGGGAGCACGAGCGGGTTGGCTGTTCCGTCCGGCCAACACGACCTCCATGTGCATGTCACAAGCGCCTCAAAGCACAAAACATAACCAAATTTACTGCTTGGCCGAGCACAGTGACAGACACTTCTGCCAACAGCTGCAGCTCGGACAAGGAAGCTTGCGACGCAACCAATTCATGGCTAGTTTATGGCATAACAAATCCTTTAAAAAATTGTATTTGAAAAGTTTACTGTAACCAGAAATGAATATTGAATGAAATTGGATGTCAGAGGCAAAAATTTGATATGCCATAAAACGTCTAAAACGTAGCTGGACAAGCGGAACACGAATTCAATTCGATTCAATTCAGTTGGATTCAGTAAATATATAATTTTATAAATATTTTTACTACTTCAAATGTGGATATTCTTCTTAAATATTCTGTTAGCCTTCAGCTATTGTTAAACCGATTTTTTGAAACTTTCGCTGCCGAGACTCAAACTGTTTCCATTATCAAGGATTGCTGGCAAAGTGTGCAATTGTCAGTTGTCATAAAATTTATGCGCCTAATTACTTGCCGTTTTTGGTTGAACTTTCGACAGGGCCAACGACATCATTTATTATTTTTATTTACGCAAGAACAAGCGTTTTATTGACACCGCCGACAAAGCGAGTGCCGGAGTGGTGCGATAGTCAATAAGGCAGCGACAACTGAAGGGACTCTGCCAAAAAGTGCCATTAATCTTAAGGCGAAGTTGTGCAGCTAATTGCGTCGCAGTCGGTTGTCTGGAACGGCACAAGGTCATTTGCCTCAAGGCAGGACGACGAGGAAAATGCTCCAGCCTGCTTACCTCGTATCTATGCCCCGAACCAATCGTGGCCGGCTGCACAATCATAAAGGGCCCTTGCTGGACATTAATGCGTTTAATGCTCCACGAACTTAATGTGCGAAGGACAGGGCGAGGTAAACGGCAATATGGCCAGGTAAAATATTCAGACTTATTTATGGGCCTTGGCAATCAGAAAAACGCTGAAAGTTGCCTACATATTACACTTAAAAAAATTTTAATTAGCTGCCCCGACAACATAACAAAGCAAAACAAAGCCAAAGGGGACGAACAAAGGCGACGCGGCACAAAAAGCGTTGTGGGCGCCGCGTCCTGTGAGCTCGGGCCTGTGGGCTCGACAACCACGGCGGCAGGCTAGGACATGGGATGACAAGGCGCAGCGCGGAATGTCCACTGCACAGGGAAGCAAGCATCAAAACGTGCAACCAGAAATGAAGCTGGCCACAGCGCTATCAAATCTGCGCCAGTTACGAACAGTTTCGTTCTGTTGCGTTTGCTTGCCTTTGGCCTTTTCATAGTTGCTGCTGTGCTTTATTTTCGCTGC